GTAGTTCTTAATATTTAGATGAAAATCCTTTATAGTCCGTGACTGAGTACTAGAACCCATGGACTTTACTAAATGCTGTGTTTCCTCCCTTGAGATGTTCTGGTAGGCCTTTACTGCAGTCACCTTCAGTTGCTGTTCGTTTGTGGTTTTCTCTGCCTTCAGCTTTTTTTATTTAATAACTGAAAAGCGTCCCTTATTCAGTCGAGATCAGGTGACAACCATTTCTTTGCTCTTGGATTGCTATTGCAGTATGTTTTGGGTCATTATCAAGGTCAAGTCAGGTGGCTTCATTGTCATTCCAATCTTTTGCAGTGGTACAGCACACAGTGGAACGAGACAATGTTCCTCCAAGACCATGGTGCTATAAATGACATATAACAGACAATCAACACAGGACTACATAAAGTGCAAAAATTGTCAAAAAACACAACAAAAACAGTGCAACACCAGAGAGAACAGAACGATACAGACACAACAGTGCAATTGAAATGTGCAAAAGAGTGAATATTGTGCAAAAAGTGAAAGCACGTCTTTATTGTAAACTTTAACTCCTTGAGAAAGTTGTCTTCTGTTGTTTTCCAGCTCCGTTGGTGTTGCTGAGCTGATCAGTGCATTCCTGCTTTCCAAGAATGGGCTAGTTGGACTAAGTGTACTATTGGCTATAATTCGTGACTAGTTAATGCACCACTTTCGTTAAACCCCTTGTGGCCTTCAATCAGATTTTCATTATTTAACCTACTGTGCTGGTGTACAGATGCAAATCTACAAAAAAAAATGCTTATTGTCTGTAATGCTGGGTAATACAGTAAATTAACTAATTTCTTAGAAAGCTTAACTGTTCCTTTAACTCAGTCTACTTTGTGGTCCATTTCCAGATTTTTCTTAGTAAAAGCAATTGACTTAAGGTTATAAACTTCTGTTATATATTAACAGCTCAGTTATCTCTATAGCCTGATAAACGCCATAAGATAAAATTTACAGCACTAGCACAGCTCTTTCTTTCATTCCTAGATGACCTTCCCGTTATTGACACAGACAGCGATCTGGGTGATGAGTCTCAGGAAGATGTTGAAAAGCACAGTGGGCAACAAATCTCAGACTGTGATTCCTCTGAAGAGAAGCCAAATGACTTCCCTTCTAAAACTGAAGATGTAAGTAAACATTAAACTATCTGTGCCGTGAAAGTGTTTTTTTTTTTTTTTTTTAAACACCTGCATAATGAGGCACACTGATCTGTAGATCAGTGCTGTTTGTGTTAGGGGACACTAGGTAGGGCTATAAGCCTTCCTAAGCTCTTACTAACTTAGTCCAGTATATTACCAACTGTGTTTCTAATTATCAGCTGACTGCCAGTTGATGCATTTGTCTAAGAAGTGCTCATCTGTGTGTTTTAACAACTTTTCTGGCGTCCTACTGGAGAATACTGTTCGCTGCTAATCTGATGGCTTTGTTTGCAGCTGTAGCAGATGCTGCATGAAAGCCTGTGTTCTTGCAAGATACTATGTAGATATTATATTTTAGTGTTTGTGTCAAAGTTGTTGGGTTTTTTTCCCAGTAATTTTTTGTTCAGTTTGTTGCAGTTGAATGTTTAGCCTTGAAACCACTAGGTGGAGCATTGTCTCAGCCATGTTTTGATGTCCTAAGAAGGCCCCATAGGCTCAAACCAGAGTAGTTTCTAGATTCAGGTTGTGTTCTGTCAAAGTTCAGAAGCTGAGCCAGCAGTAAAACACAGGTTTAATGTGAAGGGCAAAGTAGATCTGAACACTGGGGCTAATTTATGCGTGACGTGAAACTCACAAAAAAAGCACCTGCCTCTCTTTAAGTACAATATGTAAAGAATTGCATAGTTTCCACTCGTGTTATTTATAGAAATAAAAACACTGTAGAGCTGCGACACAGAGAAAATGGAAATTATTGAGTAATATTTGAACCTTTCAGGTTTACAAATGTGCAGATTTGCGCTCCTTTTTTGTACTTTGTCAAGTAAAGTAAATTAAATATTTTTGAAGTGTTTGTTCTTTTTTTCTTAAAGCCAAAACACAAAACATAATTCATGCAAACTGAACCATCAGATTCAATGG